CGCTGGCTTTCGCATGCAGGGTTGGTTCATGGGTCTGATTTGATTTGCAGCCTAACCCTGCAGTCCTCATCTGGTCTGCAGGGCCAGGTGAGTTTGATACCCCTGCTATAAGGCAATCAAGTGTCTCGTGCATCTTCAAAATGGCTGTATAGCGTGCAAAGAGTATAGCGTGCAGATCTTAGATGCCTTACCTCCTCTTGGTCAAAAGTAGTCCTGGTGTCTGTGGTCTGTGATCTGTATTGCTGTCTTAATAGACAACATTACTGTGGGCCACATAATAGAACTAACAGGGCCATTATTGATCTGCTGACCACACTTTGGGTATTTTGTTATTAGACAGTTGCTTCAACCTGGGAGAAGCCTTCAGAAACCATGTATCTGGGAGCATTCACTTCTCAGTTGATGTGGCTTATCCTTTTGCTGTTTCTTTCTCCTTCCTCCTGTTTTATCCAACAGAGAGGGTGGTTGGAAACTTGGATTTTGAATGTATGAGCCATGAGGGTAAGGGTTTTAGTGGTATCTTCTAAAGCTAAATCTTCTGCTTGTTTTTTGAGAGCTAGAGGCAAATGAGTTGCACTATACTGGTTCCAGCCATTTTCCCCCAAACCACTATTGGAGTTTAAATTGGAAATTGAATCATAACTTAAATGTTGTGGTCAAATGTCAGGACTCTTGGCCAAATCATCTGAACAAAACTGAAGTAATGAGTTCCCAGATATTTAGGAGTTTTTAATCTCCTGGGTAACTCTGAAGAATTAACTCTTCAAGATTTAATTCAACAAATAAGCTATTCAGATGTGCCAGAGAAAATAGCGTACAACTTACTGAAAAAGAAAAAAAATGCATTTTAATAGGCAAAAATAAATTAAATGTTCTTTTAGTTTTGAAGGATGGACTCTTGATTTCAAAACCAAACTTGAACTGAGACAGATGTAACCAACTGTCTGCAGAGTTTGGATTTGAATTATATTAGGAGAATTTTAGCTCTTTTTTCTTTAAAAAATTCAGACAAACCCTACAGTATTGTGTTCTTTCTCAGAGTTGATTGGGCTGAAACCTTTTAAAAGAGTACTGGGTTGAATAAAAATATTATATCAGTTTTAAATTCTCCAGTGTGCATACTTTTAAATCACAATTGTGTATCCATTAAGTGGATTAGGCTCTGCTGAAATGTGAAGAATTTTTTTATTGATCCATAGGACAGGTACAATATAAAAGGATTAGCTTCCCTACACTTCTATAAATTGCCTTGGCAGTGACGCCAGATGGACCAGCTTTAGGGGTGAGAAAATTCTGTCTCCACAATCTAATCAGTTTTTAGCAGCTCTGTTTCAGTTGCTGTTGTAGTGATGCTGACTGTGAGGTACAAAACTGCTTACTTAGGAACTAGATTGAAACCAGCCAGTTTATAACGTGTGCCTTCAAATGTCAATTAGATAGCAGTCCCTTTTTTTTCTTACTACTTATCTGTTCTAGTCTAAAAGCATGGAAGATGCTATCTGAATGCAAAACTAAGTTACTCGGTCCTCAGTTTTAAATCACAGGCTATATAATAATCATCTTCACTATCATTATCAGAACTTTACTCCAGAATAATGGGTTTTTTTGTGTTTTGCTTTTATATGCTTTAAATATTATAGGCATGTCTGCAGGTATATACCTCCTTTCTGCTTGATCAACTTACAGCACCTGAAGAAATAAAAGATGTCCATTCCTGTGCATCTCCCAGGCAGCACTTAAACTACAGATGCTTTCATGAGGGTTCCTTTCCTTTCTGTCTTGCCAGGATTGACCAAACACTGTAATTTAACAAGAGGATTGATGTCTTCCTCCTTCATTCATTTCCAGCCTCGTTCCTAGCCAGAAACTGCTGGCATGGTTATTTGGCTGTCTTGGTCTGGAGGATGTGCAGTAGTTTTAAACAATGTTTTTTTCACTTAAAAATATGACAACTCTGGCCAATGTGATCAATAAGAATTTAGATGCAATAGGGACTGCTGCTTGCATTGATATACATCTAACTATCTCATCCTTAATTCAATTAATACAGAGCATATGCCTGAACAAGAGATGGTCAAAATGTCTTCGAGTTGAGACTTAAAGGGGTAATTTTGCTTGGCTTGCAGACCAGTAAAAAAAAAAAAAAAAGAAAAAAAAAAAAAAGAAAAAAGCATATTGTGTTGGTTAGTATTTTCCTCAGTAAATAGACAGGGAACTTAGCATTAGCTAGCACTTTCGCTGGGTGTTTTCTAACCCTTGTCCAGTTCTGTTCAAGTCATCATGCTCCTTAGAATGATGCTGTAGGGTATGTAAGTGCCAAGTGTACGTTTCTAGACAATAATTTAAATATAATCTTGTTTATATGTTTATTTTATGAATTTGTCTTGGTTTTAACAGTCTTGGCATTTGTCAGTGGTGGGGGAAACATGTTTGACTTGTGCCATGTCTTTGGACCTACCTCCAGCTGTGCTCTTAATAGGGTTAATGCAGACCCACAGCTCTATTGTAGCAAACCTGGATCATTTCACATGAGCATTTATTCTACTTTAGTGCTCTGGTATTAAAACTACTTTTCTGTCATCTTCCAAGAAAACTATGGCAGTGAAACTTGCATTTAAACAACATTGAAATTGTAGTCAGTTTTGTAATACATATCCAACCATAAGACACAAAACTTCTTTGTGATCTCTGAGGTCTGCTGCAGGGAAAGTGCAACCTATTGCCAAACTATATTCAGTTTGAAGATTCATAATCTCAAGGCGCTTGCACATGTGACAAAAAATTCCCTTTGTGTGGCTTAATGGTGTCATACATTATACATGTGAGAGTTTGGGGGTTTTAAATGAGTTTGCATCATTGCAAACTTAACTACATCTTGATATAGTTTAGTTTGCAATGTTGCAACTTGAAACATTGCAGCCATTAGTCAGCTTGGCCCCCGGCTGCAGGAGAGGTGGACAGGCTCCTCAGAAAAAAAGGATTGGGCCCCTCACTGCTTGTGCTTTCAGCAGGTTTCTGAGGCCAGTAGGACACCCGAGGCGACCCACGAACTGGATGGCTTACCCCTGGGGCATTGTGGGGAGGTGGTAGGAGGGTGGCTGGGTGTGCTGGCAGCCAGAGAAGGTGGCAAGGATGGTGCACAAGGTGCAGGGCTGCCCAGGCAGGCTGCTAGCTCCTCCGAGCCCTCCCAGGCTTCCAGTATCCTGTGCGCTGTCCCCGCTGCCTTATCCAGCTGCCAGCACAAGCAGTCACCCTCCTGCCACCTACCCTCGCTGCCCCAGGGGCCAGCCAGCCCCTTCCCAGGTGGCCCATGTGTCCTGCCAGCCTCAGGAGCCTGACAAAAGCAGAAGCCGCAAGAGGCCCAATCCTTTTTTTTTTCTGCAGAGCCTGCCCATCTCTCCCATGGCCAAGGGGCGAGCTGACAGATTAATGGCCTCCTGCCTGCGGGAGAGGCGGGCAGGCTCCACTGGAGGGGTAAAAAAAAGGATCGGGCCTCTTGCCACTTCTGCCTTTAGCAGGTGTCTGTGGCCTCCAGGACACTAACATATATGCAGGAGTGACGGAAATATAAAACCCGCTATTTCAATTAAAATCACCGTTTCAATTTAGGGGGCATAGAATGCAACTCTAAGGATTCAAACCCCATCACGTGTACAAGTGCTCTCAGAGACTCACATCTGTTTAATCCGTGTGGCTTTTCTCCCAGATCAAATTGTAGTTCAATATGCTAGAGCCATTTCATGCAATTTAGGTGTATTCTTTAGGATCCTGGCTAATTAACAATCAACCTTCATTGAATATAGTTTATAACTTAAAGCTGTCAAACTGCTGTGGCTTTTTGAAGTGCTACTGATACAGGGTCTTGGCTATAATGGGACAAGAAATACAGTGCAAACTGAACAAGTTCAGGGTACAATTCAGGCTATAATTCTTTGTGAGTGTAACTGCATCAGTGCTTCTCTAGGCCTTCCTACATATTCATATTAAAGCTGGATAGAAACCAGCTATGGAGCTGTTACACATTTTCAAGCACTAACTTTTTAGCTGGTTTACTTTCTTTATAGCTGGATCGTCATTTTATGGCATGATAATTACTTTGCATGTGTGGCTGGTCTAAATTTATTGTGTGATTAACCAGTTAATTGTGTAATATATATAACATATAGCAGGGGCCTCTGAAACACGCATGTACTTCTTGGCTCCCTAGATAATTGCACTGGAATGGGAGTTCTGCAGCCCAATTATGACTCTTCAGTATCAAAAGTAATTATTTTAACATTGATCCATTTTAGCAGATGGAGTTGGGAAAGGGAGGGAAGAGAAATAGGAGTTGTAGGGAAGGCAGTGTGGAGGGGAGAAGATTTTTCAAAGGTAGGGAAGAATGAGATGGACAGAGAAAGGAGGGTGAGGAAGGAAGATGACTAAAGGGTTGGGCCATAGGTAATGTGTAGGCAGTGCACCCTACCCCAAGAGAAGCACCACTGATGCTGCCAGTGGTGCCTGCAGGTGTTTGCCACTTGTCACCCCCTTTCGCTCCTCCCACTGTCGACACTACCAGCGGCGTCTGCGGACAGTCCCCAGTCGCCACTGTCAGCGTCTGTGGGTGGTCATTGACTGCTGGTCGGCGTTCAGCCCCCCTGACACTGCTGTGACCGCCTACGGGAGCTCCCCTGCTCGGCCTGCCCCCACAGGTTGGGCTATGGCTAGTTCTAAAGGGAAGTAGATTTTTTTTCACCGAGTGATACTGAAGATAAGGTATCAAACAAATAAGAAGTAATGAAAAGTATAGTTGCCACCAAAAAGCTTCATTTTACCCTAACTTTTGTGTCGACCTCTGACTGATACCAGTAGGATCTGGGTGGTGGGTCAAAGGATAGGGGGCATGAAGTCCTCACTGCACATTTTGGGTGATGAACATTTATTAAATATTGAATTATACCTTTTCCATGAAGGAGGTGTGACACCACTGGTTCATAATGATACTTACCTTTTTTTTTTAGGTAACTGGCCCACCAGGTTGTGGCAAAACTCAGTTCTGTATTATGATGAGTGTGCTGGCTACTTTGCCTACCAGGCTGGGAGGACTAGATGGGGCTGTCATATACATTGACACAGAGTCTGCATTCAGTGCTGAAAGGTAAGGAGTATATATTTTAAAATGTTGATGTATATATTTACAAAGCTTTCCAAGTGGTAATTGACCACCGCTACATATTTGTTAGGGAAGACAGCCATTTTACAGATGGGGAAGGTAAGGTGCAGTGTCTGTGTTCGTAAAGTCTTTGGCATCCCGATTTCTAGTCCTGATGTAATCACTAGAAACTGTGTTCCTGTATAGATAATTAAATTTGCAACTGAAAAATTGCATGTCCAATATAGCTTTCTTTTGCATCTTAGTTTCTGGAGTTAGCAGGGAAATTTTGGGGGAAGCAGAAGTTCAGTAAGTCAACATATTGAATACAGGCAAAATAAAAATGATTGCTTATCATCCATATAAGAGATTTCAGACGCTTGGCCTGTTGACTGGATGTGGCCCAGCTGATGGATTTATGTGGCTGGAATCTGCATTGTCTGTATGTATGTATTTATGTGGCTTTAGCATCTGGAGTAATCATTTAAGAAAAAAGTAAATTTCTAGCCTTTGTGGTTGTGAAGTTAATCTTGCAAATGTTTGAAGTTAGTTTAAACATAGAAAGTGTTGTAGGTTTAGGAGGGAAGAAAGCCTGAAATGCTAACTCTGAGAGAGGGTATATTTCTTTGCCTGTATTAATGTTATTGAAGTCAATACTTTGTGATGTTGATTCTTTGAAATATCAGCTTTGTGTGAAGCCCAGTGGGAGAATTAGAAGTTGATACAAGGATGCAAATGCAGAAGTAAGAGTTACAACCATGGAAGTGGGAAGTAAATAGGAGGATAGTGAAGGGAGAGAAAAAGTCAGAAATGTTGCTGTTCCTAAAGAGGAGTTTTTTCCCACTGAACAATGCTAAATGTGACTTAACAGATGCTAGGGATAGTTGAAAGTGTTGTTACTACAACCAGACCATACCCTACCTTTCATTTTTGTTCAAACTTCCCATTGCTGTGTGGGAATCCTGCAGTGGACTGAGGTCTATATGTAGTTCAAAATTTATGATACACTAAGATTAAAAGTGGAATTCAGCCCTGTCCAAAATCTTAATATTTTTGTTCTAAATACTAACAAATGGAATAAAGCAAATATTGAGAGTATTTATCTATTAGTAATTTATTTAAAATAGAGGAGCATTGAAAGCCTTACTTGGGGTTGTCTTTACTGAGAGAGAAAATCACTGAATCAGAGAAGCCCAATAGTAGGCAGTTCATGGACCCACTGTATTTCCAGATCCCTGCAGCAGGGATCTCAGTATTTTGAAACCACCTGACAACAACAGGAGATAGAAAAGTGGGAGCAGCAGAAACAGCATGTCATGGACCGAATCAAGAATCCAGCACCACCAGCCCCATACAGAAACACATGCCTGAGCTACAGTAGAGTCTGTTGATCCCGGGTAGGCATCATCAGCCATCTTTGGATGCACAGATAAGATGATCAGCCTAGACTGCAAGGGATTGCTGAAGAAGATAAGTATTTCCAGAATTAGAAAAATGGAAGTAGTTGCCATGGCACTGGCTTTTCTCTATACTTTCAGTAGAAAGATGCATCCATTTGAATCTATATTTTAGTCTTTCATTAAGTTTATGACTGGGTAAGAATCACTGGAAATTAAAGCCCAGAGATCTACCACACTGTTTTGGTCTTGACCTCTTGGGAAAGCTATTACACCCCATTTGGTCCTTGGCCTCTGCTAATAGTAACAAGTAACGTTTAGCATTTGCTGAACTGTGCACTTATATGGAATTATGCAAACCATTGACAGTCTGGGAGGGTTTTAGTTAAGGTTGTCTGGGACAATTTAGGAACAGTATATCCTGCATTTAGGCAAAAGGTTGGATTAGGTGACTAATGAGGTTTGTCCTTTCTATCCCTACAATTCTATGCCAGATGTTGTTCTTGGTGTGGACACCTGTCCATGACAAGGTGGATTGAAGTCTCAGAAGTATTGTACACCAACTACAGAACAGCTTTCAGACGATAACTGTAGTCTTTGGAGAGAGCATTAGGAACTAGGAGAATAGTCTCTGAAAACATATTAGCTGATACTATTTTAGGTATCGTTAGCACTTTCTGTGAAATAGTAGAACACCACTGAAATGTGCAAGCTAACAAGTTTAAAAAAGCCTTGCACTTTTTTTCCTAGCCTAGACAGAACCTTGGGATAGTAACATGTCTTATTTAGCACTGAAACTATGTGGGGATGCTTTCTGCATTGGTGTTGAGCAGGGATCCAGGTTTTCTGTTTGCCGTGGTAACCTGGATTTTCTCCTTTTAAGGAGAAAAGTGTGGGAAATGGTGGGTTTACCCTTGCAGGCTGGCAGAGTTCCAGCCTGTAAAGGGCTGGGGGGAACAGGTGGAGGGCAGTCAGTAGGGCTATGCAAAGCTTCAGTCACTGACTCGATTTGGTGGAATCTGAATTGAATCAGGAGACCCTTTAATCTCTCCAAATCTAATCGGAATCCTCTGAATCAATTCAGAAAGTTTTGGAAAGATTCGGACGTAGACACAGCTTTAAATGTTTTTCCTACATACCCCAAGGTACCAGGCGGCTCGTCAATGCTGGAACGCTGGGGAGGTGGAGCATCCCACAGGAGCTCCCCAGCACACTCATCAGCAGACCTGGAAGTGGACCAGAAGCAGTTCTGGTCCATTCCTGGGTCCGTCGGGGAGTGTGCTGAGGGGCCCCTTTGGCTTGGCAACTGGTGCCTCCTGGGTCTGGGGGGGCACCCAGGGTCCCCACTGTGGCCAATTGCTGAGCTGGGAGGGCACGGGGAGGGGTCCCCCCCAAGAGAAGTACCCAGTCCTCTGGGTACTGTGGGCCACCTGCTCCTGTGGCCCCACCATTGCAACGTTCACAAGTAGCGCCTGGTACCTTGAGGTATGTAGAAAAAACTTTTAAAGCTGTGTCTATGGCCAAATCTCTGATTTTCCGAATCAGCATCAAATCCTCAGATTTGGATTCGGCTGAATTGAGTTGGGGAAGGTGATCCAAATCAACTAATCAAATCACTGTCCCTGATTCGGACCGAATCTGAATCCAAATCAAATGGAGCCTGTTTTGCACACCCCTACCTAGCAGTTAGCTAGGGGATGCCACGTGTATGTGCGCATGTACACGTGTGTGGCCACCAGGCAGCCTGGAGAGCAGCTCCCTGCAGGTAAGTCTTGCTCGGGGGTGGGATGGGGGGTGGGAATGAGAATTGAGGCCCCCCTAGTGAGAGAGGGAGGGAGTTGGCTGGGGCTGGGGCTGCTGCCTAGCCTGGGCAGTGCGTGCAGCTTGGGACTGGGGCCAGAATGTGTGGTTGCAGGGCCCCGGGAAGAGATCGGGACAGAGCCACGGGTGGCTCTTCCGGGGGGGTGGGGTGGAGCTGGCTCCCCGCTGCTGTGCAAACTCCAGGGGAGGGTATCGGGGGCACGTGCCCCCCAGATTTGTCTATGGGGTGGAGGCCAACTGCCCACCATGGGCTCGGGTTCCCTGACCTGCTGCCCTGCCGGTGGGCAGGATCTGGCATGGCAGGGCAGAGTGGAGTGGGGTGGGGAAGCACAATGCCTCTGCCGTGAGCCCCACACTGCCATGGCAAGGCATCCCCTGCCTGCCCAGCAGCAGTAGGGATAGTGGTGCAGAGGGCACCTTGCTGTAGGGTTTTTGGCAGCAGTGCCTGACCCTGCTGGGTCCACCCACTGGGCAGCAGGGTAGGGAGCCCTAAGACAGCAGCCTACATACACCCTGCGCACACATCTGGGGTGGAAGCATGTGTCCCCCATTCCCCTCCTGGGAGTATGTGCAGCAGCAGGGATCTGGCCCCCCTGTGCCCGCAGCAGGCAGCCTGCATCTCCCTCTCCACATGGGCTCTGTTCTGGCCATGCTGTCTGTGGGGGAGGGGGAGCTGGGCTCCATGCTCCTCTCCATCACAGCAGCCACCACCTCCTGTGGGCGCCAGCTGGGGCTTGGATGCTGCTGTGGGGAGCAGGGGGCTGCAGATCCGGGTCCCTGGCCCTGTAGCCCTAGCAGTTAGGGGCTTCCTCTGGCAGGGCTGGAGGGGCTTGGGGGCTTTGGCTGGGGAGTGAGGGGCACCAGCAGGGTCCAGTGGCTTTGGCTGGGGAGTGAGGGACACTAGCAGGGCTGGGGGCTCTGGTTGGTGAATGAAGGGCACTGACAGGGCCCAGGGGGCTGTGGGTGTGGAGTGAGGAGCAATGTCATGGGCAAGGCACCAACATATTAGGCCTGCTCAGCACCACAAAGCAGGGGAGTTGGGGAAGAGCTGCAGCTGGACCTGCATCCTGGTAAGTTAAGGGGGCAGGGGGATCTTTATTTTCCATGAGAAAAAAACCAAAATCAAATGCCAAAATTTATAGGTACTTAGAATTTATTTTATTACAGTGACTTGAGGTACAAGTAAGCTTCCAAGTTGCTTTAAAATTGTTAATATATCAATAAAACATTGTGTTCAACTGATACCTCCCCCTCCCCTCTCTCTCGCTCTGTGTGTGTGTGTGTGTGTGTGTGTGTGTGTGTGTGTGATGGCGTTAATTTTTATCATGGAAAAACATGGATTTGGGGGTTTTAAATCAGAGAATTTGCATTCTTCTCCCACTCCCCCCCACCTGTCCCCTGATTATCAGAGAATTTTTTATTTGTAAACGGAGAACACCAGGATTCCTGGTGATGAGGCCAGGGTCCCAGCTAGCTGCATGAAGCTGTCTCCTTTTAACCAGCTTCCGTTTGGTTTTCTCTGAGTTGCAGTTGAGCCAACTGCTCTTAGTCCAGGTGTTGATCTTCTGTTGTCACTGTGATATCCTTGCAATAGTTGTATTTATTAACACAAGTACCTTCTATGCTGTATCTTACAACTTCCC